GAGGCACATTCAAAGACTCGGTGGATTTTAAATTATTGCTGCAGAGCATCCCTGGAGACTGTTGAATCTAAAATGGAAGAAGTAAATAAATAAAGAGCTCAGCCTATAGTCAAGCAAAGCACCGGGATGAAAACAGGATCTCAGCTCATTAGAGAATCCCAGCAATAAAAGAAAAACTGTCGATGCAGCAAGGCAGGAATGAGACTGTGTTTAGAAATAAGCTTCCAAAGTTAGAAAAAGTAAGGATATTATTTGAAAGCAAGTGGTATGCAATACATGTATCGTTAAAAAGTACATTAAAGGGGCACAGTCTCTCACTGAAGTCAGCTTCATTTTGGTTAATTTCTTCCTATATATATATTCATCAACCAAATGTAGCCATTTTTGGCCTGGATTTTAATTTTCTATTATCATTATTTTTTAAACATCTTGTACAATATTTCATCTCTTAGCAGCAGTGTGTTTTCAGAATATTGTAATATCATTATTTTGAAGCAATAATCAACCAAATTTCCATTACAAAATTGACTAATCTGTTTATTTTATACACTCTAAGATACACTTTAACTCACTGTTTAAAAATAGATGCTAAATAATGGAGGACAGAGCCCTGCCCATTAGTGTTACCTGTCCGAGCCCCGCTGCCTGCTGTAGAATCTCTTCCTTCCTCTGAGTGGCTCGACGTGCGTGGTAAGAGTTTCTCTGACTCTGGACAACGATCACCACTTCATCCAATCCTGAGAATAATAATCAGAAAAGAAAAATTATAAGGACCAACAAACACACAACTAATCATCTTAAACATAAATTAACCACAAAATATAACCGCAAATAATGTTTTACCCAAGTGTGTGTGTTCTGTTCTACGTTCTCCATCAACTGGAGAACCTGAAGACAGGGAGCAACACAAGAGCCATTAAAAATGTAATATGTCTAACATTGTGCATCAATTGTAATGTGGCATTTACACATCATTCATTGTTAAAAGTGTAAAGTACCCTTTTTATTGTTATAAATTATTGTTTAATTATTATTGCTATCGCTATTGTGACTAAGAAAACTATATAATATTGTAAAGTACCCTTTTTATTGTTATTAATTATTATTGCTATCGCTATTGTGAGTCTTTTTACTTTGTATTACGGGTATTAATTAAACGTTAAAAACACTATTGTTTTGTTTTGAAGGCCAATTCAGAGCAACTTCCTGTCTCTTCTAGCCTAGCTGATTTAGAAGGAGGAGACGAGCTAACGGTCGTTGTGGAGATTTACTTGGGCCTTTAGCCACTTACCGAGGCAGAGTAGGAGCACGGTGAACAGTTTGAATCCCTTAATCACATCACGGTGTGACATGACTCACGCGGCCGCCGGCGTTTATGCAAATGACAGTTATTTGAAGAAGACCGAGACAGTAACGTACGCCATATGTGTAGGAGCAGATTCACTGCTTTGTTTGCTGCCTGCGGTTAGTATGGAGCTGCAGCGACCTCTAGCGGCTATTATTCATTCCAATGAAGGCGGCATTCTAATTGACTGTTAGAAATCTTTCAAATAAAGAAAGAATTATGTTCCTAATTATCATTGAGAAGCTTCCTGGGCAAGTTTTTAGTTGTTTGTTGGCACAGTATGTTTCTATTCATTTGATTTTCTATTGGTGAAATTTGTTTTAATTACTAAATTATTAATGTCGAACTTTAGTGGCTTACTATTATCTGATATTTTCTACACCATGTCCTCAGTGCCCATTCAAACACACAAACAATATGAACGGTTTTAAAAGAAAGAAATAATTTATAAAAACTAACTACCAAACTAACTACAGATTTCTGTTCAAAGCCTGAGAGTGGAAATGTACAGAACAAATGAGTCAACATTTTCCTGACCACAAACTTTAAACGTACGACCTCCGGGCAACGGAAGTTTGTCAGGCTGTTCTGTTGAAATCACAGTTGTAAATTATCACATTTCTTTTGCGCAAATAATGTCAACTGTGAAGCAGGAAATAATGAACAGAAACCTGGCCCATGTTGGCAAAGTAGTACATAAGTATTTAAGCAAACAAGGATCAAGTACTTAGCGGGAAATTGTACAAACACTGTTAATGTGACAGATGACTAGGTCTGACAGACAATAGTGGTGGGAGTGTGTATTGCTACATATAATGTCATTTATCATAAACACGTATGACCTCATATTTTGTTCAACAAAGGCACTGGATTGTGATCTGATAAATTGACAAGAATAAACATACCAAAAAAAGTGACTCATTATACATTACAATCTTTTTACAGACATTTCCAAGCACAACAGCCACACAGGTTTTCCCATAAAGCCACTCAATCTGCAGTTACAGATTAAACACAAATATCACTATTTATTTAAAATTTCTGACTGTTAAAGAATATTATTATTAGCACGTTTATCACAATCCATTCAAATTACAGCTCTATTGAACACAGCAAATGGTTTATACTTAAATAAATAATTTCTAAGGTGTCTGTCAAAGCTGTATATGTGGCTGTCCAGTTTTCCAGACCCCAAAATCAGAATGACTCAAAAACAACACATTTTGAGTCTATGTCTATGGTTTGGTGATGGTGGGGCAGTCATATTCTATATGCCAAAGATGAATAGCACAAAGTACAGATGCAAAATATTTGGCACTGGGGTAACAATCAGTAAGCATTGTATAGTATTGACAGTACAACTGTCTCTCTGATTATATGTATATATATATATTTATATTTATATATACACACATATACACACACATATATATACATATACAGTATACAGTATAGCGAAATTTCCTAGTAATAATAATGTGTATTAAGTTAATTGATTTTAAAAAGACCAGTTGCTTGTTTTTTGTTGTTTTGCAGTGAGATGCTTTTGTTTTCAAAAACACCGGAAGTAAAAGCCTGTGAAACACGTCACACTTGACGCGGGTGATACTTATAGCAGCCGACCGGACGCTGTCGCAAGAGACTGTAACAACAGAGGCTGAGAGTTCCACTGCTGAGAAAACGATTTGACAGCATGTCGCCAAACAAGGCGTCCTGCAGCAGGGTGAAGGTGACGGAGCTCCAGGAGTTCCTCAGAGATCCTCCACCTGGGTTCTTAGTGGAACCTCTGGAAGGCGACTCATGCGGGTACCGAGTCCACAGTGACCCGGAGATAAATCTCATCCTAATCGATGACTCTGACTCCTTCTGTAGAGGCAAAATAGTTTTCCAAAACTCCCTGGGCAGGTGAGTGGCTAAATGGCTAAAATATGTCCATAATTCTGTATTCCAACTGCTTGCATACAATATGTATACACTTAAATGAAGTAATACTTGTTTTTCCATTACATCTAAATTGTATATATGCACATTGCATTTATATATTAGGTCATTTAGTATAGTTTTAGGTTTCAGTAGGGATCAGTTATAATCTGAACCTTTATCTTCAAATACAGAATCAGTATGCATTAATAAGAATGACAATGACAAATTTGTTTCCACTCCCACAGGACAGTTAGGATGCATAATTTATGGGAGTACACCAGCTTGAGAAAAAGTCTGCTGTCCAAGAGGATCTATCTGCTGACCTCTGCCTGCAAATATAACTGCGACACCAACAACAACAGGGCGAAAGATGAGTTTGAAGGTAACTTGAGCCGTCTGTTTTTCTTTTTATTGTTAAATAGTTCTACAGCAGTCAGCAAAAGTTTTTAGACACATGTGGTGAGTCAGGGTTAATAGTCATAACCCGCTCCAGATTGTAGGACGTTTGCCATGGGTGGGGTCTGGAGACGAAACGTGCAGCACAGAAATTCCACAGTACCACAGTTTTCCCCTGTAAACTCTTTCCTTCTTGTCAGAACTTTGTCCTGTGTTTGTGTTGTCCCAGTGGTGAATCAGTACGTGGTCTGCATCAACGGCAGCGATCCTTTAATCAAGTGGCAGATGGCACGAGGCCTGGACTGGACCATCTCCTCTGTAGCTGGGGAGAGCTACACTGTAGAAGTAAGAACATTACTGCTGCACACGGACACAGGAATGAAATGGTCTGGAGAATTCCATTGGGATTACTTCTCTGCTCGGAACACTTAATGTAGCAACACTGCTCTACAGACACGCTCCAGATGTGCCAAGTGCGTGGGGTTATTAATGACTAGTGTTTATGCTGTGATGTGGTGAAAATTCTTCCATTAACACAGTTAAAGACATCTGCACCACCAAGAGAAAGAAAACTGTTTTCGTCACAGCATTTCTTAACATGCTAGCTTTATATATATATAAATGGCTGTCAAACGGTTGACGTTTTTTGAGCCGTGGATTAGTCGGGTTGTAGATAATCATGGTTAACAGAAACCAATATCCAGAGAAATAGGCATATTTTTACTGAACAAGTGTATAAGCATAACCCCAAATTTAACTTAGACTCACTGTATCTCAGTATTGATCACAGCCTGTTGAATGTGTCAAAAGTTCCATTTAAAACTCTGTGCACTGAACCTGGACCCCCATATTCCCCTTTGTCCCCCCAAAAAAACCAGGACTAATCACAATAAATCTTACAAGATAAAAACAAAAGGTTAAATAAAGTTAAAAACTAGTTTTTGAGCAGTACACAGACAATGGTCCAATAACAAGGAAATGAACATGTTCAGCAGTAGCTCAGTTTTCCTTTAAACACATTCTTTACTAATTTGCATTTTTACTGTATTATCTCATTTATTTGTGTTTTATTTCATTTTATAGTTGTTCCAGCTTCTGACATGTTGAAAATTTTTTTTTTTTCCATTTACATCAGATTGACTTGACTGAAGCTCTGCAGAGCTGGGCAACAACAAACAGCCACGTCTGCACTGATAAACTGATAAAAGCTGAGCCTGTCTGGAGAGATGCCGCCTTCACACTGAAATACCACTCAGACGCCCTCTTTGATTTCCCATACTGGTTTGGTTTCAGCAAAAGAAGCTTCAAGGTAATTCCTGGATGGTCTTCCTTGTTCTTGTTAGCATTTGTTAGCACATCTGCAGTCTTCTGTTGTCTTAACAGCACATTCATCTCTGCTCATTCCAGGTGAAACTCACATGAATCAGCTGGGGACGAATTGAGAGCCTCTGCTATTTTTTTTCATGTCGTCTGAATCTGATTTCCTTCAAGAGCAACCAGGTCATAGACACCATGCTGTGGATAAGATCAGGCTCAAGTGAAGGACCAGACTTTGTCCTGCAGACTGGGGAAGTGGTCCAAATACTACTATGTGAGCTCAGTTGGAATGTTCAGCAGCACTGGATATAATTAAGTCGAATCATTTTAGCTTTTCTTTTATTCGGTTGTTTTGAGCTACCTAAGCTACCTACATCAGCGGTCCCCAACCTTTACTGCACCAGGGACTGGTGGGCTGGTACCAGCCGTGACTGCTGTGCTGACTGGTAATTCCGCACCATCGTTGAAGGATCATTTTCTAAATAAAACATATCCTAGACTTTATTCCGTTAGGATCGGAGTCTGAATTGCCTATTGTTTTGAAACATTGCCAAAGTAAAGGGATATGACTGGATTCTTTTTGAATGAAGTAAAATTTAAGTACATTTTCTCACTGACAGACCGGCACTGGTCCCCAAAATAGGTTGGGGACCCCTGATCTACATGATTTGCACTCACAGCTTCTTTTTATTAAAAGGAACACAATCGTGTATTCGCTCAAATAATGTGTATTTTATGTCAAGTATACATGTAATAAAATAGTTTTTTAACAAAATCAGTATCAATAAATGTAATTATATGACAAATCACTTTCTTTGGGTATTTTCTAATCTAATTTCTAGTAAAGATTAAAACATGTGGTTACCTTTGCTGGATTATGGGATGAGGAGAAGAGCTGCTGCAGCACTAGTGATCACTGTCCTACAAA